TTTTAGTAGAGACGGGGTTTCACCATGTTGACCAGGATGGTCTCGATCTCTTGACCTCGTGATCCACCCGCCTCGGCCTCCCAAAGTGCTGGGATTACAGGCGTGAGCCACCGCGCCCGGCTAAGCCTCAATTTTCTTATTTGTTAAATGAATTTAATTATAGTGCCTACTCCATATGCTTATTATAACAAGTAGATGATGCCAGATGCAGTGGCTCACGGCTGTAATCCCAACACTTTGGGAGGCTGAGGCAAGAAGAGAATAGCTTGAACCTGAGAGGTGGAAGTTGCAGTGAGCCAATATGGCACCACTGCACTCCAGCCTGGGTGACAGAGCAAGACTTCGTCTCAGGGAAAAAAAAAAAAGTAGTAAGTGAGATATTGCATGTACAGAACTGCACACAGTACCGGGCACAAACTAAGCACTCAAATGTTCATGGCTATAGTGTTATTTTAATTGATGATTATTAAGGACAAGAATACTTCTTTTTTCCTTTGAACCTGGCTTAATGTTTTTTCAATAGAGTACATTAATGAGGTACCCACTGTGGATTTGCTGGTGGTCATAATAAGAAAGGCAGAAAAACTGTAGGCAGTAGTTTATTCTGATAATATACTCTGATTAAAGGATAACTTATATAGGATTCTTTACTGCTTGATAGCCATCATTCTTTCTTAGGTTCCGTGCTACTCACTAGAAAGGTGCAGCAAAAGGGAGAACATGAACATCTTTCTCAAGCTGAAAGAGTTAAAGAAAAACCAAGACAGTACTCCTGCCTGCTATGTTCAGACACCTGGACTAGTTAAACAAATTGAGCACAAAGCTGGATAGCTGCCCTGCTTTTGATTTGTACAGGTGGCTGCTGTGGCCACAGGGACAAAGGCAACTCCTTGGCTGGGGTTGAGAGTAGAGGCATTGAAAAATTTCTGTGTTTCTGTAGGTCTTTTGATTGCCTTTGCTTTTGACCACGTGATTTTGGGACACCTAGAGACACAGCCTGCCTATACACTGTAGGAATATAATTTCCTTGAGATTTAAAAATAAATCCAGCTCGTAAGCACCACACAGACATTCTTTAAAAGTTTGTTTGGTCAGGCACGGTGGCTCATGGCTCTAATCCTAGCACTTTGGGAGGCCGATGCAGGCAGATCACTTGAGGTCAGGAGTTTGAGACCAGCCTGGCCAACATGCTGAAACCCCATCTCCACTAAAAATACAAAAATTAGCCAGGTGTGGTGGTGTGCGCCTATAGTCCCATCTACTCGGGAGGTGCAGGTTCCAGTGAGCTGAGATTGTGTCACTCAACTCCAGCCTGGGTGATGAAGTAAGACTCTGCCTCCAAAAAAAAAAAAAAAAAAAGGTTGTTTGAACTTTTTTTTTTTTTGGTGGGGGTTGGGGGGGCGGAGACAGAGTCTAGCTCACTGCAACCTCCATTTTCTTGCCTCAGCTTCCTGAGTAGCTGGGATTTCGGGCACGTGCCACCATGCCCGGCTAATTTTCTATTTTTAGTAGAGATGGGGTTTCTCCATGTTGGTCAGGCTGGTCTTGAACCCTCAACCTCATGATCCACCTGTCTTGGCCTCCCACAGTGCTGGGATTACAGGTGTGAGCCACCATGCCCAGCCTGTATCTTATCTCTTTATGTGATCATTAGTTCTTGTCACAAGGTTGGTTAGCATATTGTGACCAGTAAGTTATTTCATTCCCATTTACTTGGTGAATGGAGGCTAATTTCTTTCAACTCTTGTTTGTTCCTGAATAGTCTGAAGATGATGAGAAACTGAAAAAGAGGAAGGAACGATTTGGGATTGTCACAAGTTCAGCTGGAACTGGAACCACAGAGGATACAGAGGTAAAAATATACCTAGAATGCTTCATAGACCGTGAGGGAAATGAAAGTGAATGAACTGAATGGAGAAATACTGTTTCCTCACCTACTTATTTATTTAGTAGAGATGGGGTTTCTCTTGCCCAGGAAGTGAGAGTGAATAAACTGAGTGGAGAAACACTTTGTAGAGATGGGGTCTCATTCTGTTGCCCAGGGTGGTCTCAAACTCCTGGGCTCAAGTGATCCTCCTGTGGCCACCCACCTAATTCTTAAGTGCCCAAATATTTTGCCTTTTGCTTGATAACATTTTTTCCTGGATGAAGTGGCAACACTGAATTCCACCAATATACTTAATTCAGTGTTAAGAGTCTATTAGACTGATGGTAAAGAGTATAAGGTTTTGAATCAGGCCTTGGATTTTAAAAGTGGCTCTGGGCCAGGTGTGACTCATGCCTATAATCCTAGCACTTTGGGAGGCTGAGGTAGACAGATCTCTTGAGCCCTGGAGTTCAAGACCAGCCTGGGCAACATGGAGAAACCCTGACGCTACTAAAAATATAAAAATTGGCCAGGCGTCGTGGCACACACCTGTAGTCCCAACTACTCAGGAGGCTGAGATAGGTTGGATCACTTAAGCCTAGGAGGTGAAGGCTGCAGTGAGCTGAGATGGCATCACTGCACTCTAGCCTGCACAAGAGAGTGAGTCCCTGTCTCAAAAAAGAAAAAGTCTCTGCCACTTAGTATTAATAAGTTATAGTACTTCCTGCGCTTTAGTTTCATCATCTGAAAAGTGGAGATAATATACCTGCCTCAACATGATATTTAAATAATGAAATGATTCTGTATAAAAAGGGATAGTTTTAAAGTATTTAATAAGTATTGATTGTACCTAACTCCCTTCTGGAAAAGGACAATGGACTCAAATCAGACTTCCTCTTCCTGTCACTTTGTTTACAAATAGGTGGGTTTTTGTTTTTGTTTTTGTTTTTGTTTGAGATGGAGTCTCACTTTGTCTCCAGGCTAGAGTGCAGTGGCACAGTCTCAGCTCACTGCAACCTCTGCTCTATGGGTTCAAGTGATTCTCCTGCCTCAGCCTCCTGAGTAGCTGGGACTACAGGTGTGTGCTATCACGCCCAGCTAATTTTTGTATTTTTAATAGAGACAGGGTTTCATCATGTTGGCCAGGATCTCTTGACCTTGTGATCCACCTGCCAAAGTGCTAGGATTACACGCATGAGCCACCATGCCTGGCCACAAATAATTTCTCAAAATGAAAGTATCCCAGCACTTTAGGAGGACAGTGTGGGAGGGTCGCTTGAAGGCAAGAGTTGCAGAGCAGCCTGGACAACATGGCGAGACCTCATCGCTACGAAAAATTTTTTAAAAATTTAGCCGGATGTGGTGCTGTAGTCCCAGCTACTCCAGAGGCTGAGGTGGAGGTTGCAGTGAGCCCAGATTGCACCACTGCACTCAAGCCTGGGTGACAGAACAAGACTGTCTCAAAGTGTATTGTTAGGCTGTTCTTGCATTGCTATAAAGGAGAAATACATGAGACTGGGTAACTAATGAAGAAAAGAAGTTTAATTGGCTCACAATTCTGCAGGCTTTATGGGAAGCATGGTGCTGGCATCTGCTTGGCATCTGGGGTGGCCTCGGGAGGCTTACAATCATGGTAGAAGGCCAAGGCGGGGGCAGGCACATCACTTGGCCAGAGCGGGACCAAGAAAGGGGAAGGTGCCACATACTTTTAAACAGCCATATCTTGCAAGAACTGTCTTGAGGACAGTACCAACAGGATGGTGCTTTATGAAAGCTTCTTTATGAGTAAGTATCAGAATCAGTCTTATAAATTAAACCCTGAAAATTTTAGAGTTAAATCAGCTAACCTTTAACTAGGAAAAAGCTAGAGGAGTTTGTATTCTGCTAGGGCCAGTGGTTGGGAGTGCACATGAAGGACTCTGTGCCGTTCTGTGAGTCACTTCCTGAACCAAAAGTCTTCCCTCACCATTTTGTGTCCTCTCCAGTGTTGCTGCCTCTTTTAAGAGCTCTATGATAGGGACTCACCCACACACCACTCACTCCCTATTCGTTCTGTTGGCATCAAAGATTTATATGCCTTTCCAGAGGCCTAACAAATAGCTACTGCCTGGGCCTCACTACTCAGAAGGGCATCTCCTTCACCTCTATGAATAGCATTGTTTAATTCATTATCCTCTGAAATCTTCCATCTCCCCATTGACTGGAAGACTTTCCCCAGCCTGTTAACAGCCCATTGTTTCCAAGCTAGCTTGATCTCAGGCTGGGTGGCCCTCTCTCCTTCAGGAATCTTTCCATTTTCTACCACTGTTCTTCTCTCTGTCCCTCGCCCCCAGTAATTTTTTTTCCTTCTCACCCTCCTTACCCACTAAACTTTCCCAGCTCTAACTGGATAATTGGAAAGATTGCAGAGATTGAGGAATGAAATCTCTTGCTGCCAAGCTCAAGTCTGGGCCATCCTTCCTTCTTGGGCCTTGTGACAGTTCATGTGAGTTTGGATTAAAGCAGCCAGGAATCCCAGCAACTATTGTCTTCAGTCTAATTTTTTTCTTCCTGCTTCTTCTTTACAGGCAAAGAAGAGGAAAAGAGCAGAGCGCTTTGGGATTGCCTGATGAAAAGTTCTTGTTACTTTCTGTTCTCCAGTGTTTTCCATTTCTCTGATTCTTCTTGGTCACATACACACCTAAATGCACAGTCATGTGCCTACGTCCTGCCTCGCAATGAGGGAGCATGTACCCCAGGTACATCCGTGAACTGCAGCAGCAGTTTGACTTATTGCTGTTTCAGCTTTAAAGTTGTTGTGTTTGTTTTTGATTATGTTGCTTGTTAATAAAAAAAAAAAAAAATAGAAAAGAGAACAATGTGTTTTATTAGGTGCTCCTTTGATTTATTGGAGCCAGATTAGACCAGATAAGGGGAGCTTCAGGGGCAAATAGACAATTGGCCTTAACACTTTTATCCCTAAGAAGAGAAGACAAGACAAAGGATCGAGTCTACTCTTTAAGCCTATTTATTCCCTTCTCTCATATTCACAAGCATTTTTTATTCTCTATGAAGAGGTTAAATTACCTACACACCAAGTCTTTACGCCAGCAGCTTGTAGTGACCCACTGAAATAAAATAAAACGAGGGAGGTTTTAGGTGGTGCAAAGGATATAAATACAAAGGCAATGATTAGTAGCCTTCTGTTATGAGCTAATAATGCAGACTTTTTCTTGGATAAAATAGAGTCCAGGGTCCCAAATTAAAGGAAAAGGGCCCCATTTTCAAGGGTGGCCTGATACGATACTGTCTGGTTTCAGCCAAAACCAATATGTGGGACCTTGTTGGTTAGTCAGTTTAGGAAGGGAGATGGGCTGGATATCCCTCAGAGATAGAAGAAATTTTGTATAGGGAATCAAAGCATGACAGAGGATGTCAGCACTGTTAAGCATTATTACATAAATCATTGGGAACATAAGCAGTGGAACTGGAGGCTTCAAGTTCATGTAGATCTGAAACCTACAATTTAATCTTTTTGGATATGTTAGTACAGAGTTTCTCCTCTTAATCTTTGTATAAGCTTGGTTTTTGTTTGGGCTATTTTTGGTAGTAAGGCTTAGGAACCTGGCACCCCACCTGAAAACTTTTGTACTATGATCTGATCCCATGTTGCTGTGGTGTAATCCTTTATCCTTATTTCCCCTAAAACCTGCCTGGTTTTGTGCTTAATGAAATGGTAGTAGTTCGATCATCTTTCTAACATCAAGAATCTCTTTATTTCTCCAGAGTCTCTGGTTGGTGAGGAAGGCAGGGACCTAAAGTTTAGATACTTTAGGAAAACTGTGTCTTGGAGAGCAGATCCAAAAATTGCTGCCCATTTGTTGTGAAGTTTGCCCCATTCTGAGACTTTGGAGAAGTAAACAAAAGGGAATGCTGGTTAAATTTTTGACACCTACTCAACCAAATAAACCTTACAATTGGAATGACCTTCCTCTTTCCCTCTTTTCTGTCTGCCTCCTTTTTCCTTACCTCAGGCTCTTATTTTGGGGCTAGCCTTTCCTCTCTCTCGTCTGTCTTCATCTGAAAACAGAAGTAGAGAGAATATATCTGATTTGTAATTTGAGAGATTATAGATTCTGTTATGGTTTCTACCCTAGTATGGT